TGAAACGGAGTGCATTGTCTTCCTTGCGGATGTACTCTGGGTACTTGTCCATGAAGTCTGGTGATTCGAGGGGCAAAGTCAATATTCCCTAGCCTGCACATCGACTGTAGGATATAGACTTCAAACTTACCTTTAACGTGGCCCCATAAGGAGGGGATCGTTGCTGGGATTTCGTACACAGCAAGTGTAAATCCTGGGAGATCTAGAATGAGTAAATTGTATCGTAGCGGCTCTGTTAACGCACCATAAACTTTGTCATTGTCCTCCATGAATCGGAATGGGTCCTGTAGGATGTCGCAGTGGAATTTGACGCTTGGTCTACCTGGATGCTCGTACACAAATTCAATCCCGTACAAGAACGGATACGCACTCGACACGCCAATACCACCGGTACTGCAGCATCAGGGGGTGCTTATAAAAGAATCCGGAATTGAACCGGCACATGTTGTGATATCTTGAAACGGAAATGGTTGAATTCGTTGCGTTACGCCGAAAGAAAAATGCTCACGCAAGACTCCCTGGGTCCGTCAGCGCGTAATCCCTCCTTGTGAAGATCGAGCGCACCTCCATACTTTACGTTCATCCGCTGCATCTTCTGCATCGCTACTTGCGCCTTGCCGTTGTCAATCCAATCCGGCTGATACCAATGTTCCGTTGGGATAACCCCGAACTCGACACGGGCGTGGGTTTGCGCCCGGATTTTGCTTCCAGTAGAATGGAGGTGAATCGGTCGAAGCAAATCTGGAGATAGGCGTGACGCACCGCTTGAATTCTTCGCTGAACTCCTCGTCATTGAGGAAAACGTACGGGTATCCAAATCGCTGGTTAAACCGCTCCTCGAGCTGGCGCACGCTCGAAAGCGCACCCTCCAGATCAGAGTTGCGCGCCAGCATCACAAACGTTGCGTTCGCGCGCTGGTGCACTGTATCCACCGGCGCCTCGGCTGGAACTGACATTTGAGCGCTCGCCTCGTGCTCTGGCGCAGGGTCCTCCGCAGTAATCGGAGGCTCCGGTGGATCGCGCTCTATGACGAGGACCGCCGAGTACTTGCGATATAACGCAATGAAAGACATCTTTCGGATAGATGAGCATCCGTACAGGGCAAAGAAGGGTGTGGATACCAGGATCAAGCAGGTAAGAGTAAAGTATCGCGGACGCCGCTGCATTCTGCGTGGCAACGCCTAATCCAAGCCCCGCGGTGGGCGTACGGAAACCAGGCCGAGGGCGTTGCACTGGGGAGAACGAGGAAGGCACTTCCAATTGTCGCGCGCAGGTGAATTGAGAGGCCCTTTGGGCGGGTGCTTGCTGGATGAGTGGGCGGTGAGAGTGTGGACTCAGTGGCTGTGATACTTTTTTTTTAGCGTTGATCCCACAACAATGCCACGATGTCGGGATGCCGTTGAGTCGGGGCCGTGGTATGCGTGACAATTGGGAGACGATTTGCGGGTATTCCTTATTCTCCCAAAAATTTCCTCCGTTCTGTTGTGTCCTGTCCTTTGGACGCGTCGAACGATCAGACACCGCGTGTAGGTGCATAGCACGTGGTCGTGCGTCGATGATGTGACGACAGCGTGACATCTCACACGTGCTTCGTCTCTTGCTCTCTCTTTGAATCTCTGCATCCAGCGCAGCCATAGCCTGGCATCGCGAAGTCTTCTCGAGCCCTACCAATGTACCTTGAAAGGTTACGCCGGGAACGAGCTTTTGTGAAATCCTTGCGCTCTCAGCCGCGCCTCGCGAACCTCACCTCAGGAGTCAGGATGTCTCTGCTAGGGCACCTTTTGCTCTCCGTTTGCGCTGAAATCACCCCTCCGCAGATGCGGCTTGGCCTGTGCAACAGGTTGCAGATGGCCAGGGCAAGAAGAATACCACTGGAGTGACACTGGTTTCAAAGAAAATCCGCGTTCGGCTTGAACTTGGCAGCAACGCACAAAAGGGGAGATACGCCCGCTCAAGCACTCACACAAAAGTCGCACCGCCTCCCGCTCCTCTCTCCATCTCTGATTCTCTCCCCTTTCGCTCCCGAATGACGATTCGCTAGGATTCGCCACGGTAGAACTTGCAGAACGTCGATCTTAGTGATCGACGCTGCTGTGTACGAAGATCTTGGGGGCAAATCCTCTGCTTTGTAATACCTGCTCGATACACCTGAGCCTTGGCCCTTGGCAGGCAACATATCATGCACTCCGGAAAAAGGCAAATTTTGGGGTCCCTGAAGATGTATCTTAAACTCTTAGTATCGGTAACAGTATAAGTAGGGCTAAAATTATACCAGAAATGTAGCAAATCTGGGGCACTGAAAGGGTTACTGAAACGGGAAATTTCGGGATTGGTATTTGGCCACCCAAAATGTTCCGTATCAGGTGCAATTTCGACTCAACAGAAACTGCTCCTGAAACTTTGAGTTTCAGGAGTTTATTGTCCACCAAAGACCATAGTTTCAGTCACAGTTTCAGATGTTGCCGAAGCTATTGTTTTCAGTGCGGCGGGCCGGCCGGTTTCAGGAGTCCGAAAAACAATAGTTTCGGCAACAGCCGAAACTGCGACCGACACTATTGTCCTCAGTGGACAATAAACTGCTCCTGAAACTCAAAGTTTCAGGAGCAGTTTATGGAGAACGGAAATGGCGCTCGAAACAGTAAGTTTCGGATCACCAGATACTGATTCCAAAACCAATCATTTCAGAAACCTCTTCAGGCGGCCAGAAACTCTGCCTTTTAGGTACAGTTTTCGTGCTACTAATACTGTTACCGATACTAAACGTTTAAGATACGTCTTCAGGGACTGCAAATTTTGCCTTTTCCCGGAGTGCATGATCAAGCTGCACGACGTCTGGCTTGGGCTCACGTTTGGCTTACGGCGTGGAATAAATAATTGGGGAAGCGAAACATTTACACTCACAGGTCGTCGGAATCGGATGGATGAAGGTCCACAAAGATGCACAGCAAATTCCTGGTACCGACCTAGGGACCAGGTCTACCGAAAAAAATTCCCATTTGATCAGATCCGAGACATGCCGTCGGTGATGTCCGAGCATAGCCACACATCCCGCCGTTCAAAACCTGAAAAATGCAATTTGCCTCGATCATGACGGCGTCCTGCACATTATATCTGTGCAGTGTGGCCTCAACAACTGTTTAGAATATTGCCTCGATATTGCCTCGATGACAACTCGGTTGTCCTAAAAGCAATGCAGAGTCGTCCTTGAGTCGTCCTGCCCCTCCAGGCTGAGGCTCAATTCCCCCAGCTTGTACATATCAAACCTGTTGTCGCATCAGGGTCAAACTCACCTGAATAATGCTTCCTTGATATTGTTATGCCGGAGTGGTTGAGCGACGTACGACTGGGTGAAATTGTCCTTGATTGATTTTGTATACGAGTCAAATACGACTGGATCCTGGGGACTAGCAACGACATATTGGTCGGTCAGGAGGTACCAGGGGTGCCCGGAGGGCGTTATGAATAGCTATAGGCGATCCGTGTCTATTCCGGACTGGCACGCGACTGGCACGCAAGAGTGAGACACCGCGTTTAAACTTCCGAACGCGGTTTCTGACAATGAAAGATCGCCAGTTGTCCACTTGTTCAGATGTCGTATCCATACCTGCTTCACTGTGCGTCGTGAAAGCCGAATGATCTCATTCACGGAGTCGCGTTGCCATCGAAGGGTCCTCTCGTCGTCAATGGTTGATGCTCATGCCTCGGTTTATTAGCAGGCGTATCATCCCCGAGCCGCCATGCTCCTGCGATGAACCCCCGTCGGAAGCCGCAACCCGATGCACCGTTCGCAGCAAAACGGCGACGCACCCAGATCGCGTACTTGAACTGCCGCAAAAGAAAGCTTCGGGTGCGTTGGATATTGCATCCCTCACTCGATGCTCCTCGCTCGTCGTTCGCATCTTAGTGTATAGCCACCGAAGAGTATCCGACGAGCCCCTGCACGCGGTGTACAAGGAAGCACATTCGTTGCGAATATTCAGCGACGGCTGGGTCAACTGTAAATAGGACTGGGGGCCCACGGACAAACTCCTCAGTTTATGGACCCGGAGCCTTCAGCCAGATCATCGTCTTCCCTGGCGCAGGCCATTCCGTCCACGGGATTGGCTTCACGTTACATTTTGTCGCCTTCGCCGTCTCAGTCGAGTCCGGGACCCAGTTCTCCAACCTCGCAACCAGGCGCGGCACCACTTCTCCCGCACACGGGCCCCCCTCCAAGGAATCTCCATCCACGTTATGCAGGCACACACTACCCGACCTCTCGTTCTCCCACCAATTATCGACACCCACGGCAATGCCCATCGAGGCGCCAATATCAATGGACGCGGTTGAGTATCTCACATTCCCCGCGTCCTATGCGTATCCGCCATCGCAAGCCTCTACCTCTCCTCCGCCGCAAGACCGGCCACATTATGGTGATTCAAATATACCGCACTACCCTGACAATCACGGCCCGCTCAACCAATCGGCTATGCATATTCAGCCCCAGCCTCAGCCACTCGTGTACGCCCCGCTGCCACTCCACATGCCTATGCCCTCTTTCGTGCACCCAAGCGTGCTCCAAGACGCATTTGACGACGATCTTGCAGCATGGTGTGTTCATTCATCTTGGTCCACATTGTACATTCCATGTTTTCGCTCATGTCCGAAATTTATGTCAGCTTCAACGTCTGCGACATCAATTGCGTGCACACGATGCCAGGGTAGAAATGAAAGGAGTTCATCGCGTCATTACATCCCCCAAAACCATGTGCATTTACAGTTGAAGCAGAATCCCTCCGGGTGAAGTAATCTGTCCACGACCAAGAACGCTATCCAAGCGTCTCTCTTCTCTTTCGCCAGCACAGCAGTGCTTGGAAGCCAATATATAGTCGGCGTAGGGTCTGGAGATGCAATTGTCAAGCTCTACGGGTTTATTCAGACGTTGTTCACTCCTTGTCTCTGGTTTCGGCGGGTTAATAACGGCTGGCAAACAACATAGTTCCCGTTGCGGTGAGTAAAACTGGACGCGCAGGGGTTTGAACCCTGGACCGCATACAAAGATGGTGTTCCGGTACTATACATAGGGCCGGAAATACTGCAAAGCATGAGTGATACCACTACACCACACGCCCGTGGGCGCTGGTCGGTTTTCCATGTGCCGCGGCTCCCTGACAGTACTCGTTGGAATGTAGACGGATTGAGGCCTCAACCCCGGCCGGCAAATCTGAATAAATTACGGGAACCGCTCGGACGATCCATCGTCCAGCGGTATTACACCTGAATCTGACAGGTGTTCCAACAATTCTAGAATGTCTCAATGGTCACCGTCCTCACTAGAGCTGCGGCCACTTACATGGCATTCAAACTTACAGCATCAGATCAAAGGCGGATACAAGATTTTCTCCATCTGGAAGCAACAGTTGCACTGCACGCAAAGCTTCCCGCGGCAAGCCCAATTCAAGTTCAAACAAAACGATGCTATAGAACCTCTTCATAATGCCGCTTGTATGTCCCGGCTCCGGGTGAGTCAGTACATGTGGTTCGGTTGGCGAGCCTGGCATGGCCGCTGGCTACCAAATACTTGAACTCCGAGACACCGTCGCGGCCTACTTGTTGGCAGGCGTGGTTGAAACAGCGTCCTCGTAGCGGAGACTATTTGCTGTGTGCTGGCATTTCAGTGCATATCCCCGCGTTTCTGATGCACGGGGACCGGAATTGTAGGCGGTGCTTTCAAATCCCGCGCTTTGCCTGGGCAACAGCACACACATATATATAGGCGAGGCAAAGGACCGTACGCTCATCATCACACTCATGCGCGTACTCACAACAATCACCTATCTCACCGCAGCTGCGTCCACTCTCGCAATAAACGTCCCTCCAGAGATTGCAGGTCGCGGGAAGACCATGTACGTCCCTCCCTTGGCAAGGTGAAGGCCATAACTGGCTGACCATACCGCATATACACTAGCTTCCCCACCGGTGCATCCCTGACCATCTCGTTAGTTGAAGCGCCTCCCCCTCCCACAGGAACGGGATCCGCCATTGTCTCCGCATATTCCAAAGAAGTCCAGGTGTGCAACATATATTTGCAGGCCCTTCAAGACGCTCTCGCGGAATACAACCATTCCAATAATTTCGATGTCCCTGTGACAAATTACAACGACCCCGGCTTTCTCAATTCCTTGGTCTCGAATGCGGTGGTGCAGGGTGAACATGTAGAGTGCGACCAAGCACAGGTCAACGTCTTCTCGATGGAGGACGTGAGCACGTCACCCACGCCCCCAGCCCCTTCATCGTCCTCGATAACGGGCAGTCAGGCGACAACCTCCGCGTCCATCTCCACATCCACGCAGCCGACGGGGGCAGCAAGCAGTGACACGGTGTCTAGCTCTACCACAACGGGCAACGGAGGTAGTCGGGTGGTGTCATCGGGAAGCAGTACCCCATCCAGCAGTCCTGCTCCATCCAATACTGGCGGGGCGATGCATCATGTTCCCGGCGCAGTGGGGTTCATCGCCGCTATTGCTCTTCTGTGTTTGTAACTTGGTCTGATGGCACGGCTAGTGCCACCTCTACGTAGCCCTTATGCTATGTATATAGTTTCGCCATTTTGTGCCCAGTGCAAACCGGCGACTCCGGTTGGAAGATGAGGGCATAGGAACGCGAAGCGGCGATCAATCACTGCGTTCCGACCCCCTGTAGACCCAGTGTAGTCCAAGGCATGTAAACTGAGGTAGTCGGGGCGTAGACCGACCCCTCTGTCTACATCGGACTTCAATGTCGGTCTACGTCGGACTAAGCTGGTAGACGGACATAGACCCAACGTAGTCCGAGGTACACCCATGTAGTCTGAGGGATTACGGGGTTATTTTCAGGATGTTTGCTCGATGTGTCGGGAAAGACTGGGTTCGGTCTACGTTGGTCTACAGAGGTAGTCGCAGGTAGTCCGGATGTAGCCGAAGGTCCGTCTACACGGGGTAAACCAGGCTCGTCCGAGGTACCGACACCTCGTCTCATCATAGGTCTACTACCCCCTGTACACGGAGGTAGGCAGAGGTAGACTGAGGTAAACCTAGCTACAGGCAGGTACCCGGGGGGTCGGTCTACTGGGGGTCGGAACGCAGTGAATGGCTGCGATTTCACGAGTGATGCAGCTCTTTCTGCGCCCCGGGGTTTACTTTTCGCTGTCAGTGTCTGTTACCACACCATATCATCCAAGTGAGAGTCCGCCGCTTGCTCAAACTGGCCGTACTTGTTATGTACTTGTAAGTTGCAAGTAGCTGACCTCAAGTTCAAGTTTGTGGCAACCGACTTACAATCTCAGTTGTCCCACTTTTTCTTCCGGTTCCCGGCAACATGGAATGCGAATGGAGGTGTAAAGGGTGGTCCGTGCGCAATGTTTGTGCTTGTAGATGATCACGTGCCGATCACGTTGGTCGCGTCGCTCTCGATCTCTCTGAGTCTCTCTTCTCCCAATCCTCCCCTTCTCCCATGCCCGTCGCTGTCGCCAGTCCTTCACGCATCAAGCACCACACCGACTATATGGAAACCTAATCCACCAAAGCCTGCGCGAGAGGCTTGGTCAACCCTTGGTCCCCGATCGATGTCGTCTTAGACTCTTGGCCCTTGCGGCTTTTTGTTCACTGAGCGCTCACTGCCACTCAGCAGCGTGGCAACTAGCAACGCGTGAGCTTTGCGGATACAACGTCCAGGATACAACGTCCATTCTTGCGCTTCCTGACCGTCTCGTCATCTGAAATCCTTGACATCTGCTCAATCGTTTCCCTCCGAACCATCCTTTTGCGATGGTCCGCGCTGGTTCATCCCCCTGTGATAGTATATCCTGCATTTCTTTTTTTGCTCATGGCTCATGTAACTGCCGCCTGTCCTTGCCACCGAGCTCCTTCGAAATCTCACCGCTCCACAGATCACAAGCACATTGCCGACCACGAAACCCTTTCTCGATCGCACTCCGCGGATTGCGAAACCAAGTTTCTGAATCTCGTCCTAGGTCAATGTGCAAAATATAACGGGTTGCCTTATCTTTCTCCACCTGTTCTTCTTTTTTAATTTCGCCATTGTTAACCTCCGCGATCGAGCTTCAGAACCTTACGCGATTCCTCATCTGACCACTGTCACGGTTGCGTATTTCATTTCGGTATCCTTCGTCACGTCGAACCTTTCTTCGGTATGTGATCAACCCCGACTCCCAGTCCTTGACTGACTGCGGGTTCGAAGTTACATGACTTACTGCGATACGGTTCTCCGTCGTTAATTTCCCCAGCACAGGCCCGAGTCCATTCTTCTGAAGCTGTACCGCGGCATTGGATTCTTGCACTCTTCCCATAGCGAGAATGAGGCCGACCTGTCCAATCCGCCACAGAAATTATCCGTAAAACCGAGGCTTCAGCTGAGTGCACCAAACAATATTTCGTTAATGGTCCCGCTTTAACTCATTTCAAGAGTTCGTCCCCTGGCCGAATGTCTCCCATCCACATATTTTGAGACACTCGAGGTTGTACTGTTCCTACGCCTGCACAATTTCCCTATACCAATCCATATACCCCCCGAATTCAGTAGGGTGACAACATATCAAATTGCACGCGAGGATTTTCAACTGACAGACCTGTGTTCTACGTGCGCGTCAGAACATCAAGCTTAAATGGGAACCCCCGAAATCAGTTCTCAGCCGCACGCTTGTCACGCCGCCCGGACCGCAATTGGTGATGATTTGCACTGCATGAGAGCAGTGACGTGGCCAAGACTCATGACTAGATCCTTCAAGAACACTATTCGCAAAACGGGGACCAGAGGAAGCTACTTGGTTACATCGGCGGCGAAATCACTCCGTTCAGCCCTCACAGTCACAAGTACGAAATCGCCCCGAAAATCGCCACTGGCGGGCGAGGACGTAGCAGTTTTGACTGACGTGGCGGCCGGTCGTCGTGCAAGCCACGACTTCGAGTCTCAAAAGAGCTGCGCGAAAATCGACGGTGCTTCTGAATCACCTGCGAGTATAATAACCCCCCCCCCCCCCCTGCGCCGACCTCGGTCACAGTGCTAGATACACGACATCCCAAGTCTAAAGCGTCTGACGCAGCCGCCTTATCGACTTCAATCTCCGCTGCAGCTCCGCTGTGTTCCCCAGGACCGGTAGCCATCCAGCAGCACAGCTCAGACGACCCATCGTCCTTCGTTGTGCCAGCATCTAACATATTGTCAACTATTCTCCCAGACACTGGATTAGCCCCATCGGATTCACAATGGAGGACCAGGGCGTGGAAGACGCTAAGACGGGCCCTGGCAGTGTTGAAGGATGTTTCGGTGGTCTTCCCGCCCTTGCAAGCTGCTGCCTCGGCGCTTATGGGTGTTCTGGAACAAATAGAGGTCAGTTTACCTACACGGTTATCGCAAATTCACGCAGCTAACGCCCGAGGCCCGTTAGGAAATCGCATGCGCCCGGCATGATCTTAACGCCGTCGCCACACGGATTGAGGCTCTCGCAAAACTGCTCGGGAGGTATAGGGGAGGCCGAGAGGATGAGGATATGCAGGATCGTCTGAGCGGAATGGCAGTGTGGGTTGTCCCACTCTTATGACACTGCTCGCTCGCTCAAACCCGATGTTAACTCAGGGTCATTGCACAGGTAGCGCAAAAGATCAAGGCAAAACTTGCGCCTGGAGTCCGGCGTATCTTTATCGACTCGTTAGACGCGCACGAGATTCTCGAATACATCAGCACGGTTTCATTTCTCATCACCATCTTCGAGGTATGTGGTTTCAGAAAGAATTGCTGGCTTCTGATTGATTTATTTGAGCAAAGGTGGATACGGCATTGAACACGGAGGCTAAAGTTGCGGGCATAAAAAAGGTGCGGTCCTCTTTCCTGTTCCTGCTCGTCATTAATCGTAGCTTAGATCGTGTCGGAATTGCACGACTCGTGTAAGTCTCTTTCCTGCAGTGCCGCAGGCGCCTCACCCGGCCACCAGATATACTGGAAAAGCTCCGCCCAGTCGCAGGCTCGCTATATAACGACCTCGGCAGTGGCGGGGAGTGCATGCCGGGTACTCGAGCCGGGATCCTCGCGGAACTAATGGCATGGGCCCCCGAATACGATGGTCCTTCAGTCTATT